CTGGGGATTGAACCCAAGGACTCACAAACCCAAAGCAGGTGCTCTACCACTCAACTACATCCCCAGCCCTTTTTATTTTATTTTGAGACAAGTCACTCTAAATTGCCCATGCTGGTCTCAAACTTTCCATCCTCCTGCCTCAGCCTTCCAAGTAGCTGCAAATACAGGCATATGCCAGAGTGCTCCAATTTTTAAATTCAAGTATTTCATAAAATAAAAGTAAACAAATACAGGAGTCTTGCTTTTTTTATTTTGTGAAACAAGAAAGGAGACCAGTCTTCACTGTGATGGTATTTGCCTTCTGTAGCATGGCTACTAGAATGCAGATGTAAACATTATTGCTGGGGATTCAGATTCCTATCAAAGCTTCACAGCTAAGCCTGGTGTTTATCAGCTGTTGTAATCTGTGCTCCTTTTCTTTGTTTTTTGGTATCGGGGAGCGAACTCTGGACCTTGCGCTTGCGAGGCAGGTGGTGGAACCACTGAGCTAAATCCCCGGCCCCTCGCTCCTTTTCATTGCTGAGGGACTTTATTGAGCTTTTGACCTTCTGTGATCTTATATTAAGAAAACAAAAGCCAGGCGTGGTGGCGCATGCCTGTAACTGTAATCCCAACACTGAGAGGCTGAGGCAGGAGGATAGTTGTGAGTTTGAGGCCAGCCTGAGCTCAATAGTGAGTTCCAGGGCAGCCTGAACTACATAGCAAAATTTATCTCAAAAAAACAAAAAAATATGAAAAAGTAAAAGAGAACATTGTGCCCACTCCTCAGTTCTTATCGCTCAGTTTAAGATGTTTTACCCCAGCATAAATGTGTGACCTGCTTTTCACTAATAAGAGTGGCCATCACAAACATGAGCTATGAGAATTATCTTTTCTTTTTAGTAGCACTAGGAATTGAACCCAGGTCCTTTGCACTGCGTTACATCCCCAGCCCATATTTACATTTTTAATTTTGAGACAGGTTCTTGCTAAGTCGCTAAATTGTATTGAGCTCAGACTTATAATGTTCCTGCCTCCGCCTCCTCCAGATTGCTGGAATTATAGGCAAGAGAACACTAATTTTCAAATTAAAACATTAGGCTAGGTGTGGTGGCACATGCCTATCATCCCAGCACTTGGGAGACTGAAGTGGGGGGATCGTGGCAAGTTCAATGAGGCCAGCCTGGGCTGTATACAGAAATGAGTTCAAAGTCAGTCTGAACTGTAGTGAGACCCTGTCTCAAAAAAAAAAATAAAACATTAGATAAAACTGAAAATTCCTCCACTGCTTTTCTTTTATGTGCTGGTAAAATTGCCTTTTTAGTTTACTCCCTGTGATCTAAAAATGAAAAATCCTGTTGTAATAGTATTAGATCCTCATTCCTCAGTGAGTTCCCCCTCTCTGTGGTTGCCTTTGTGTTTGCTCAGAAGCCCTAAGAAAAAAGTCTTAGCTAAAGATTTTCCGTACACAAAGATGTCAGTGAATACCGAGACTGACACCACAAGGCTGAGCAAATGCAGCATAAGAAAATCACAGCACTATTGGGTGAATGTATGGTAAAGAGTGAGACTTTACAAAAGGATCCGGAAATGAGGTCAAGGTCTGGGCCCCCAGGTTTATAACCTAGCAATGGGTGGACTAAGACTTGAGCAAGTAGTTCAATGCTAAGGCTGGAAAGTAGCCTTGTTAGTTAGCTAGCTGGGTTCGAGTAACCTGGTAATTAAGAGTGAAGAGCAAACGTGATTGGGTGGGACATTGCCATTGCTTAGAATTATGCACAATTTTGACCAGATGGAATCAAATTAATATGGCTATTTTATAATTTTGGCCCTGGTGTAAAAATCCATCCACCCATTCATTCGTTCGTTCACTCAGGAAGTGTTCATTGAGTGGTACCTTCTAGCTGGGCCGGAACTGTGGTGAATCCAGGGCAGCTCAAGGACTCAGGAAGAGCCCTGGGTGGATCGAGGGAAGCCATAGTGTGAAGCTGGGGTGCAGGGAGGCCAAGCACCCCTAGAGTTCAGGTGCAAGAGCAAGAGGATTTGGAGTTTTGAGCAGTGTTTTTCCTTTGACTCCTAGGAACCTTGAACGGCTTCCCCCAACTCGTGTATTCTCTCCCTCGGGGCTGTTTACTAGTTGTGGTGGGCTAGTTAACCTCACTAGAGGTCATCTGGGTAAAAACAGTATCTCCTTCAGGCATTGACATGAGAATTAAGGGAGCAGTTTGCTCAGATGCTACTTGTAACACGTCATCAATAATATATTAACATATGTTACATATTAATGGGTTCCTATTATTATTATAGATCATTATCTATAATATAGATACTTATATATGGCCTTCTACAGGTTCCTCTTTTCTCCCAGAGATTTGGAGAACAGAGGTTTTTATCACATACTTTGGTGAATCTTTCAATGCAAACTACATTGAACAAAGGCAATACATTTCTTCCTTTACAGATGTTGATTTGCTTTCCTCAAGGGCATTAGAGGTTGAAAATTACTTCTTTTTTTTTTTTAAAAAAAGTCCTTCTTTCTTTTCTATTTGTTACAGCATATAACCAGCACAACTCTTCTGATTAACTGACTGTGACTGGGTACTTATTTTGACTCTGCATAGCTCAAAAAGAAAGAAAGGGGGAAATAACAGGAAGGTTAGTGAAAATTCCCCATGATAAGTACTTAGCTAAATGTTGGAACTAAAGAAGAGAAACAGAGAAGACATCAAAAAAGGTGCCAGTACCTAACAGAGGGCATGCACAAGGTAGAGCTGGAAGAAGAAGAGAGTAAGGCTGCATACAAAGAAAGTGGAGAGACAGGTTACCATGAGCTGATGCCTCAACTTGACCAGCAGGGGGTGGAGCACTAACTCGAAGCAGTTGCGCTTGGCCGAAGCAGAAAGGCTACGTTTCCTGAGAGCCACTCCAGGGGAGAAGATGCCCACGGTGTGGGGGGGATGGATACCCTTGGGCATCCCTGCGCTTGGGAAGTTCAGACAGGTACAGAGGCCTGAGAGGATGGCTCTGCAGAGTCCCAAGAGCTTGGACAAGGCCCCCTTCCCTCCTTTCTGCCTCCTTTGAGCCTGGCAATTCTACCGTTTGCAGTAATTTGCAGTCTCCTATTAGGTCCAGTGCTAGCAAGAGAGAGGAGCTAGACTTGAGAAGAAGTGTCTGGCTTGGGTATTGAATGGTGAGGCTTCTTTAGCTCTTGGTCCTTTGTCCTTCATCCCTTTTCTTGTCCAAGGCTTTCCATCACTGTAAAGACAAGGTATAAATACACCAAAATACTATTTCAAATGATCAGTAGGCCTCTTTTTCTGTTTCTGATAGAAGATTGTCACATCAGCATGTATTTTAGGGCACTGCATTTAGTTTTTTGTTCTTTTGAGACAAGGTCTTGCTCTGCCTTTTGATACTCGATAGAAGTTTATTTCTATTACTAGCTATAATCTCTTAGAAAATGATATTTTGATGCTTACAAAATATTTCATTTACACTTTGGGATCTCTTTGTTGGTAACAAATTAGGCCCTTACTCCCCTGAAAGTGTAACCGGACTGAGGGTTTCCCCCCATTATTCTAGAAAATACTATCCTCTATATGGAGGGAAACTTCTGATATGATTTTCACTGTTAATAATTATGAGACAAATCCCAGAATGAATGATTGCCCACACATGCTTCTACACTGAGTAAGATTTCACTTATTAAAAATCAGGGTTGAGCTGGGTGTGATGCTGTACACCTGTAATCCTAATACTCAGGAGGCTGAGCCAGGAGGATTGCCACAAGTTAGAGACCACCTGTACTACACAGTGAGTTCAAGGATGGCTTAAACTACATAGTAAGACCCTGTCTCAAAAAAAAAAAAATCAAGGTTGACAGTTTAACAGGCTAATTATGGTTCTGAAATCCCCAAGGGGACTTTAACCATAGTTTTTCAGACATTCACTTTGCCAAATAAGCCACTGTCAGATATATCTACTGTACCCTGAAGTGCAAGAGCAACACTGATTTGGGGAAGTGTCGCTCTTGCTATACCAAGAGGTCAGACACCCAAGTTCAGAGTAATGGCTGATCTTGATTGTCAGCTTGGTCGGCTTGAGCGATGCCTAGATTAGTCGAGCATGCTCCTGGGGGTGTCTGGGTAGGATTTGGGGGTGCGACATTCGGGACTGTGTTTGGTCCCTTCCTCCTTCCTCTCTGGATCTTTCCATCTTTCTCTTTTTTCTGGATGCCATGAATTGAGCAGCGTTCCCTTGCCATGCTCTTCTACATGATAATTCTGCGTAGGCACGAGCAGGCCTCTGACACTGTGCACCATAATAAATTTTCCTTCTTTAATTGTGTGTCAAGCATGTTGTCCCAGCAATGGAAAGGTGGCTAATGTAATCAGACACCATCCCAAACCAGATACTCCAAGGACTTTCCTTGGGGAGAAGGATGGTAAGCTAAGGCTGGGAAAACAAGGCCAGGAGAGAAGTATGACTCCAGAAAAATTTCCAAGATGGTTTACTACCTCTCTGAGCAGCAGGAAAAATGGCAGGTCAGTCCAACTTCTCAGCACACCCAACGGGGCAGCAGAATATCTACGATGTGCTGTATAAACTTGATAATTGCTGTTTCCACTTGCGCTGGCCGATAATCTTAGGTGCTCTGCTGAGCCCCAAAATGTTGACACAGTGCAGCACATAATGATGCAGAAGGTGGTCTTAGGGGACCTGAAGTCATTTCCTTTGACTCTTTAGATAAAGCCACATTTGATTTTCTTCAGGCGCTCCTCCTACGTTTGCCATCAGGCATCTGTGTGCACAGCAGCCCTGGGCTTTGAAGTCAAACCTAAGCATCGTGGGATGGGTAGTTAGGGTCTGCCCTCCTCAGGGATGGTCCACTTAGTCCTGGGGCTCTTCCAGCAAACCCAAGCCTGGAATTCTGAGAAAATGAAACCGAGCAGATTGTGTGTTTCAGGGCCACCTGAAGTGTAGCGCTGTTTCCACCTGCTGTGTGAATTCCTGCTTCCTTTTTCTTGCCAGTGAAGAGCCCTGGTGAAACTGTGAGTTGAGAGGGCCCAGGGACTGCCAGCCTCTCGTCCCCCTCACAAACACGATTCAACCTTCCACTGGTGGTGACCTGCCCTCCGGTGGGTCTTAGCAGCTGTTGGCAGTTTTGCACTAAAAGAAAACAAACTGAGGAATGTACTTCCCTGCATACTAACGAAATGGCCCGGCCAACTCAGGGGTGATGAGAAGGCTTTCGGAACCCAGGAGAATAATGATCCTCAGTCTCTGACCTCCTGGCACGGCTTGCTGTTTATCAGGAGGCACATGTGACTGGCTAAGACGCTGAGCTGGGGCTTCAAGGAAACAGCTGCTGCTGGTGTACTTGGCTTTTGGCAGCTGGACAGGCAGAACACAGAGACAAAACCACCCCAGTAAGTAACTGCAGACTTTCAAGCTGTGTGTGCGCGTGTGTTTGCACAAGCTACCAACAACTTATTTTATTTTGATTTTGGTTTCCCTCTGACTCTGTAGAAGGAAATGCCTTATTTGTACCTGTTAATACCCATTTGTGCTTTTACTAGCCATTGAAGAACCTGTGATTTTTAGCAACGTCGTCTTCTAGCTTTGCAAGGGATGAATGTGGCATCTTCCTTTATTCCTGTCTGAGGAAAGAGCTTGTTTCCAGGTGTCTGGGATTTGTATGGCCCATAGCACTTAGCTTCAGAGCCAAGATTCAGTCAGGTAACAAAGTACAGAACTCATGGAAGTGAGCTGACTAGATTTAATTTTAATCAATTTTATCATTAAAATTTCAAAGCATAGTTGTTCAAAATCACTTGTGAATTTATTGTGCGGCTGGCTTGACCATTACTGGTTGACTTGAAGACTATTTTTCTTAACAATGTATAAGTGGTTGTACTACTGAGAAGTGACAAGGTAATACTTGATTAGATTAGAAATCGTATTCAGATTTCATGCATGTTTTCCAACTCATTGAAAGCTATCTTTTTTCACTGAGTTAATTCACTCCTGATATTTTAAAGCTAAAATTTTCCGTTGCTCCTGGTCTTTCTTGTTTTAGTGTTTCTGTGATGCTTGGGCTCTTGTTTCTTTGTTTATGACATGGATTGTGAAAGTGCTGCCTGAAGCCGATTGTCCACACTGGGGACCTGGCATACAGAGACCTGAGAAGATGTCCTTTCCAGGGTCATTCAGCAACAGGGAGTTTGCTCTGCAGAGAGCTGCAAGTGGTGCCATGCTGGGACAGAGTTTAGAGGTATTTGTCCTTCTCTGGAGGTCACCAGCCAGAATGGATAAGAGGAAAGAAAAAAGAGGAAAGTTGAGGAGGCAGGACCTGGAATAGATGACGTAGCCTCTGAAATTGACAGGCTTCTCAATCAGAGGCGCAAGGAGATGACAAAGCAGCTTCCTTTTCCAAATTACCCGGACAGCATTGAGGGGAGCGGGTGGTTGTTTTCATTTGATTTCTCATTAGACAGTGTTTGGCTTGCAGTGAACCAGGGCACTCGGAAGTGTGACTGAGGGACCAGTGAGTAGGCTCATGTTGTGCAATATGCATGGGACTTTTGGCCCTTCCCCGGGGGAACTCTGCTTTCTCTCCCACTGCCAGGCACCTTTTGTTGGATGTGGAGATTGGATGGAAAATGACCCAAGGTATGTTGGTTCTGCCCACAGGATTCCCTCAACACAATTGGGCTGGAGTACCTCATTAGCAGCCGCAGATGCCCCAATGGGAAAAAATGGCTAGCCTGGCAGAGAGATGTTCTTCCCCTTATTTCTTAAAATATAGAAGAAACCACAGTCTTGAGTGTCCAATGAGAAAGAAATGGTTGCAACTCCTCCGTTTCTGTTTATGTCATTTGTGTGAAGGCCCTTGGGTCAGCTGGCATCCACATGGCCTGCGACTTCCCTGTTGGGGTGCAGGGGATCTGTTATTTCCCTGTGCCTACCATGCTGGGTCATTTTCTAAGGAGTTCACTTCTGGTTTAGTTTCTCTTTTTCTATATGTTGATAGTGGAAAAGAACTCTCCAGTGAAATCATGTTTTTAGAAAAATAGAGCCTCTCACAATAAAATACAGTATCTAATTGAGTCTAAACTAAAGACTGATCTCTGTAATTGTGACACTGTCATTTATGGTAATTTATAGGGCAAGGTGTAGTTCAGTGTTAGAGCATGTGCCTAGCGTGTGCCAGTTCCTGATTTTGATCTCTATCACTGGAAATTAAAAAGAGAGCCTATTAAATGGAATATCTGGCATGGAATGGTGGTGCATGCCTGTAATGACAGCTGCTCCACAGGCTGAGGCAGGAGGGTTGCCAGTTTGAGGGCTAGATGGAAAGTTGCAGGCAGCCTCGACATAGTAAGACCATGTGTGGAAAAAAGCAAAAAGAATGTCTAAATGGGAATGAGCATATTGTTTGAATTATACAACTGCTGAATTTTTGAAAGTTCACAGATCTTGAGCAACTCAATGAACTTTCAAAATGCTAATGGAATAATAATAAAAATAATTACTTTAGACACATTAGAATATATCATTATACTCAAAGACTTTTAGATCTGGATAGGAATTAGGAATGTTTAGTTTAGCACCTTCATTTTGTAGATGAGGAAATTGCGATAAATGTATCTGAGTCACAGTGCTGAGCCGGAAAAGAGAGTAGTTCTGGTACTGTTACAGGGTAATATTAATTCCAGTAATTATAATGTACATTTATTGTGCTCTTACCATGCCAAGGGATTATATTTTTATAGAGTCTTCATATAACCCTATGTGCTATATGGATAGATGGTGATTCACAGTGGTTCAGCTTAACAAGTTTTTGCTATCTTTTTTTTCTGGTACCAGGGACCGAACTCAGGACCTTGTGCTTGTGAGGCAGGTACAGCACCACTGAGCTACATCCCCATCCCTCAACAAGTTTTTGACTCTAGAAAAGTGTGAAAGTGATAGGCATCCAGTGGAAACCGTACTGGGAATTTTGAATTTGGATCTTTTCATGAACTAGTGATATGTTGTATAATCAATCCTTTCTTGAGAGGCAGGGCAGCAACCACAGATCATGGGGGAGACAATCAACCTACATTGCCCAGAGTTGGTAAGCAGGGCCGTTCAGTAGGTTAAGTGCATGAAAATGCATTTTCAACTAACCACATTTTCAACTTTTGATGGGTTGATTGGTATGTAACCCACTGTAAGTTAAGCAGCATTTGTATATTATTCTTCTTCCAGTTTCACATAAGGAGAAATGAAGGCGTGGAGTCCCCTTAGATACATACAGGAGTGACATCCAGATCTGATACCAGAACCTACACACGTTAAAAAATAAAAATGCACTTTATGGTGAATCCCACACCGTTAAGCTTAAAAGCCCATGAAATGCAAATGAGAGAATTTCCAGCACAATAAGATTAGATGCACAGTGTGTGTTAAGGGCTTTCCAAACCCTACATGACAGGAAGGGCTAGGTTTCCCCCTGTGACAGTGCGAGCCTGGGCCACACAGCAGCACTGACCGGCAGTGTGTTTTTCTCTTTGGAGACAGTGCACAGTGACGGCCCTTGCACAGGAAAGGCCAGCAGCTGAGAGCTTTGTCACTACCTGGAGTGCACTGCTCTCACTGTCCCCTCTGGCCTATCCCTTTTTTCCTGTCACTCCTTTCTTTTGGAGAACACCTGCTCCACCCATGCCCCACCCCTAGTTGCTGGCTTAGTTTTAGTGAAACCTTCATGCAACCTGCTCCTCGTGGCTCTGGTGGAAGGCTGGTTGTTCCAGCAGATTGTTATGAAGAGAAACAACCCAGGCTTTCACTCTGCTATTGCTTGCTCTGAGGTATGGCCCCAGAACGGGGCTTGGCTGGGAGGGAACAGACTTGTGCTTCTGTCTGCAGACTGTGATGCTGCCTGCACCCTCCATTTGCTCCGAGTCACATTTCTCTCCCCACATGCTACATATCCACACACTGCCTGTCTCACCTGTGAACCTGCGGCTTTTCTGGGTCATGAGACAGAACCCTTACATAAACTTGCTTCTTGAACCCTTTCAAAAGTTTCAGTTGGGTCTCCACATTCCTTCTCCTGGTTAAATCTGAAGATTGTGATAGCACAGCACTTGGTGATAACATAGAAGCAGCGGTGGAGCTGGAAAAGTCCTTTGGTTAGTCAGGGGGAAGAGTAAGCAAGTAGCCCATGCATGTATGTCTTTGAGAAAATTTTTCGTGTTTGTTCAAGGTCATTATGATAAGATTACATTTCTGTTTTGTTGTTTGTTTGACACAGGGTCTTCCTATGTAGTTCAGGCTGACCTTGAACTCACTGTATAGTCCAAAGTGACCTCAAACTCACAGCAATTCAAATTCTGGGATTACAGGTGTGTGCTTCCGTGCCTGTCTAAGATTACATATTTTGAGGATGAAGCTATTCACAGAAAGAAAAGGAAATTTGTAATCTTTAGTTCCACCTGCCCAGGGCCTTAAGCCCAACTCAACAGTAGTTGTCTATGCGGTCAGACAAGCCAGAACCACTGGGAATTAGCTCCAATGGAAGTTACAGTCACCCCTCAATATTCTTGAGGATTGGTCTCTGGACTCAATGAGTCCAAGGACACTCACGTTCCTTATAAATAATGGCATAGGGTTTGCATACAACCTGTTCATGTCCTCCTGTATACTTTAAATCATCTCTAGGTTACCTATAATCTCTTCTATAACATAAACACTATGTAAATAATTGTTAACTGTATTGTTTAGGGAATAATAATAAGGCTGTAGCTGTTCAGAACAGGTGTAATTACTTTTGAAAATATTTTTGATCCTCGGTTGGTTGAATCTGTGGACATGGAACCCAAGAAGGAGGCCACAATGCCTCTAACCCTGGCTGGGAACTTCTTATTTCCATGGAAATTGGCACAGTGTAGTGGGTGTTATATAGAAACTCATGAAATGGACTCAGAATTCTAACAGAGTGCACCAGACAAGCTCCAGGGCTGTTTTGAAGCAATACAAAATGCTTGATTAATTTGGGGGGAACTCTTACAGTAAGGAAATAAATTCTGTGATGCAGTGCTTATTTTGTTTACATGTGCCACATTGTTTTATTATTATTGCTATTATTATTATTAGTCTTTTTTTTCAGACAGGGCCTTGCTATGTAGTTCAGACTGGCCTTGAACTCACTATGTAGCCCAGGCTGACCTCCAATTTGCAGCCATCTACCTCCCTTAGCCTCTCAGGGGATTCCAGGCATGCACCACCACATCCAGTTCTAGATCGAGTGTTTTAAAGGTATCTGTTCCCAAAGAGTTAAAATCCTTGGCATCCCCTTTCCCAGTATATCAATTGCTCATTTATAGTCTGTGGTGTTAACTGCTGGACTCTTATGTTCTCATTGCTTTATGAGATTTGATATTTT